CTGTACGTTTTACATCCAATGGATGTATGATCTGATTAGTCAACTAATCGCAAAAATAATCGGTGACTAGTCGACTATCAAAATAATCGTTTGTGGCAGCCCTACTTTAAAGTGGACTTTTTTGTTTGTTTGAACCCAGCTGTGCACTGTTTGGTTTTTTCTCATACAAAAATAACTACATACAAAATCAACCATGACGAAGTCGTCCTGCTGCCCTGACCCCTCTGAGCCCTGAGAATGAAGGCTGCCCTGCAGGGGAGACGGGCAGGGAGGAGAATCTGGGGGGTGAACCTGAACATAAACAGCAGAAAAGGTGTCAGCCTTAAAGTGAACCTCAACTGTACTTGTTGTGCAAGACAAGACATTTGGGAGCATTATTTTTATCCACAATAACACTGAAGTTACCATAGGATCATTCTCCTCCGAGTCCAGGCCTCGAGGAGCAAACGCAGCAAATGGCAGGTCCAGACTGGCTGCTGTTATCTACACAGATCCACACAGAGCAGGGTTCAGTGTGGTGGGTGAGAAGCTAAAATCGGTGTAAAAAGCAGCTTAAGATGACGTACCTGTGTGCTGGGTTTATTAACAAAGGCTCCGACCTTCCTTGTGAACGCATTGAGCGACTCCACAGGGTCCGAGGGAGAAACGCTCCTCCGCCCTTCTTCTTTGCGTCCGTCTCCGCTCTGCGACAAGCCGTCATCATCGCCACTGAGAGGAGAGAGAGGGACAAGACAGGAAGTTTAAATTTCAAAATGATTTAACGGAACTACGGACCAACACTGGAGTTCAGGGAATAAAAATAGGTTACAGTTTTCACCGGTTAATGCAAAGCCAGCGGACAATCACCTGCTGCTCGGTGTGTTGGGGGCATGCTCTACTGTCAGATGAACATCTGCTCCATGAGGAGGCATCAACAGAGCCCCGCCTTCCTTCCCAGCATGCAAGACCTAGAGAAGAAAAAGCAATGGCAGGGTTATGAGAGGACAAAAGCAAGAATCTTGATGGACATTGTTTAGTTATTTAAGAAGCTAATTAGGAAATAAAA